TATATATATATAATTTTTAATTAATACAATTTTATTTTTACATTTTATAGTTGTATGATTAATTGAAAATTTGTATAATTAACATAATTACATGTACTTATACTTTAATTAATATACTTTGGCATTAGTCATTGAATTAAATCTTCATTTTGCCATGTTATATTTAATCAGGAATCAAGGCATGCCCCATGATCTTGGTTTTCGGTTGTCGGCAGTCACAGATTGACCACATTTACAAGGAAGAGACCATCCAGGCCAAGAACAAGGAAGTGTTTAACGAGCTTGACCACATTTACAAGGAAGAGACCATCCAGGCCAAGAACAAGGAAGTGTTTAAAGAGCTTTACACTGCATACTCCAGAGAGCCTGGGAAACCAAAGGTTAGAATATGATGCCTTGGCAAGTATTAGTGAGGATATTTCAAATCCATTTATACTCCAGCATTAGTGAGGATTTAGCTAACTGCTCATGTGAATCATAGAGATTAATGAGAAAATGAAAAAATTAACCTTTTTGAAGAAAGTCTTTGATTTTCACTTTTGTTTTTTAAATTCACAGAGCAAGGCAAAGCATTTCTGACTGATCAAATAACAGTGGAACCATGCCTCGTGACTTTTAGACATCTCTTTAGTCCCTTACCTCACAATTTCTTATTCTTTTTTTCCTCTCAGAAATACGTCCAGGATGTGCTTCGCGAGCAGCTGTCTGAAACAGTGTACAAGTATCTGAGAGAAGAAGGAGGACATATCTACGTCTGTGGAGACGTCACCATGGCTGGAGACGTACTGAAAACAGTCCAGCAGATCTTTAAACTGCATGGAAACATGTCTCTGGAAGATGCTGGCTTCTATATCAGCAAACTAAGGGTTAGATCCCACTTTTTCCAAACTTTATGCTGTAGTTGGTGGTGGTGCTATTCGGCCATTAATTTAAAACTGACCCTATATATATTACATATAATTTTTATGTATAATCGACATTATATATAATTTATTTGAATGAATAGAATTTTTTGACATTATATTTAGTATTTTATGAGTAATCGACAATTTATCAGCAAAACTAAGGATTAGATCACACTTTTTTCCCAAACCTTATACTGTAGTTAATGGTGCTATTTAGCCATTCATTTAAAATGGTAAATGAAAGGTAAATCAAGTACAAGGTCATCTAAGAAGTTTGTTTGTTTGTTTGTTTATTTTTTAATTAATTCAATTTTATTTTTACATTTATATTCATTATTTAATGACTAATTGATCATTTATCAGCAAAACTAAGGGCTGTTTTATGAGTAATCGACAATTTATCAGCCAAACTAAGGATTACATCACACTTTTTTCCCAAACCTTATACTGTAGTTAATGGTGCTATTTGGCCATTCATTTAAAATGGTAAATGAAAGGTAAATCAAGTACAAGGTCATCTAAGAAGTTTGTTTGTTTGTTTGTTTATTTTTTAATTAATTCAATTTTATTTTTACATTTATATTCATTATTTAATGACTAATTGATCATTTATCAGCAAAACTAAGGGCTGTATCCCACTTTTTTCCAAACTTTATAATAAAGCGGATAGCGTTAGTTCTGGCAGGTCACGTGAGTCTCTCAGCTGATCCACATCTACCTATAGGAATATGACGCCTATCACAGCATTCCTATATAAGGTCTATTCAGTAATATTGAGCAGCTTTATCACTTGCTCAGGAGCAAATTACCCTCCTCCATCCCCAACTCCTCCTTTTGCCACAGTCAGGACTTGGCTTTCTGATATTTTTTTGTTAAATTAGACTCCTTTTATCTTGAATAATGTTGTTACACTTAAATATCATTAAGAACATTAATGATATCTGCTTTGTTCTGTTCTGTTTACACTGGGGTCAATTCATGACAGGCTGCATGGATGGGCAGGGAGTTTTTTGCCCAGAACAGAACCATACCGCCAAATCTAAACTGTATGCTAAGTGTCAATCATTTTGACAATAGTAGTCCTGACAGAACTGTAGTTAGTGGTGCTTTTTGGTCATTTATTTAAAACTGACCCTTTGTGTGCAAAGGTAAATCAAGTACAAGGTCATCTGAGAAGTTCTAGTTACTTGTACTGGTTAGTAGTTTATTTATTTATTTTATATATATGGTTGTTTCCTTATATATATCATTTGTTGAATAAATTAAATTGTATTTTTACATTTTATTTTCATAATTTTGTGATTAATTGACAATTTATCAGAAAAATTATAGGTTCGATCAAACTTTTTTCCAAACTTTATACTGTATTTAGTGGCTCCATTCAGTCATTTATTTAAAACTGACCTTCTGTGCAAAGGTAAATCAAGTACAATGTCATCAGAGATGTTCCAATTACTTTTTCAGACTGTTTTCTCCTTTTTCTCGTTGAAGGATGAGCATCGATACCACGAGGACATTTTCGGTGTTACCCTGCGCACTTACGAGGTCACCAACCGTCTAAGGTCGGAGTCTATTGCATACATCGAAGAGAGCAAGAAAGACACGGATGAGTAAGTCCTGTTTGCTTATTCTCCATCCGTACTCCTCTCTCCTTGAGTCGCCTTGGGTTATCCGTGCTTGTAGGAGGACCTTGTGCCGTGTAGATTACTGTAGATACAGCCTCTGGACCAGCATCACTGAATGCCCGCCGTAACCATAGAGACGGAGGCTGAGAAGAGGCTGCAGCGTAACAGGATTAGTGAGAAGAGAGTGGCTGTGTTATTCTCTGTTTGTGCTCTCACAGATAAGAGCTTGTTCATCGCACACTCGCTGTGAGAGCGGAGGGAGGGAGAAGTGCTTTAACTGTAGTGTGCGCTTAACTGGCCACCATAGTTCCTGTGAGAGGTGTCACTTATTTTGATGTTTTATGATGAAAGTCCTTGTGTTGGAGAATGAGAGCTACCTCACGGTCCCTCGCCATGTGTCATCTGGTACTCTGTTGGATAGTGGGCAATACTGAATAAATAAATATATAACGAGATAATTAAATATTATCATGAAATGTTGCAATGAATGCATAATGTTACAATGAAATGTGACCTTAATTACGTACATTAAACATGAAAGGTGTTTATTTTTGAGCTGTCAATTGCTTACTATTTCTAATGGAATTAGTTACATGATATGCAGATTGATTAATCAAATTAATTGCAATTACATCCCAAATGAAAAATGGCATGAAATATGAAAAATACACTATTGTTCAAAAATTTGGGGTTGGTAATGTTTTCAAAAAAGGTTTTTGAAAGAAGTCTCTTATGCTCACCAAGGCTGCATTTATTTGATCAAAAATATAGTAAAAGCAGTTAGTTGTGAAATATTTTTATAATTTAAAATAACTGTTTTCTATTTGAATATATTTTAAAATGTAATTTATTCCTTTGGTGGCAAAGCTGAATTTCTCTCTTTGTATCTTCTTTAATCTTTATTTTTTTCCTTTTACAGGGTGTTTTGCTCATAGTCACATTTTCCGTCCATTTCGCTGGTTTTTGTTCACGCTCTAATCAGCCAACCAGAAGCATGATGGGACACCGACCATGATTCACGAAAACTGTGCCAAGTTTGTTTGTTTAAAATGTTCTTCTTTTTAAATGGAATATTTCATTTTCTTTGCTAGGTCTTGTTTGATGTGCATCTCTATGATCAAAATCTGCATTACTACAAGTACCTTTCACTTGAATTTCTGAATGCACTTTTTTATGTGTCTTTATGCTTTGTCCTGAATAATGGGCTGTGTGCACTTAGACATGGCCTGCCTTTTTTTAACGTGTAAGCAAGATTGGTGGCTTTCCTCGTGTGCAAACATGCATAAATATTGACTTTACTATTAAGAGGTGAGACGTTTTTGGTTTGGTTAGTGAGTCTCGGGGGTTATTGTGCACATTTTGATGAAAGACCAAGTCTCTATCCATGCTAAAAAGAGAGGACGTGCTAGTATTTACAAAAGGTGAGTCTGTTTAAAAGAACCAAACATGGACTAGTTCACACTGTCCTTGGCCTTAAAAGTGGGTTCAGATCTCATTTTGATTCATTTTGATTTTTAGAGTCACAACTAACCATTTTATTAATTATATTATTAATTTGGCGTCTTCCTCTATTTTCTTCTTTCTTGTCTTCATGATAATATAATATTTATTATTTAATGTAGTAGTAATAATAATAATATTGAATATAAAATGATGTTTAAAAAAAGAAACAAAATACCAGAAACAAACAAACAAACTTAAAACACCATGGTAAGACTTGGCAGTTATTTTTATTTTTTTATTTTTACATTTTTTTTTACATGTGAAAAGAATTAGTGGACGACTGAGAATGAATTGATATTTGTCAGCATGTCTAGGGGGAAGACGAGTTAGACCTGTACAAAACCATGCTCTGTATATTATCGCTTCTAAATGAAACACACACTGCTAATTGATGGCACACTGGTTACCATGCATCTGAACGTGCTGAAGAGTTGTAAGATGTGGTTAGCTATTTCCCGAGGCCAGTAGTAAACATCTGTCTTGTTAACAACTAGCCCTCAATATAGAATGAATTATAATGGAATTTAAGAAAAAAATAGAGTGGTTCTTTTTGTTATTATTATTTTCTGATACACCATTTAAAAACATCTTACTTTTGAAATTAATTCAGTGAAAAAAACATGACTGTGAAATTAAAGAAGACTGCATGGATTTTAAAGCAACTGTATGCAAGTTACCTTTTACCTTTTTACCCAGTTTCAAAATCATTCTGATGGAACACTGACTTTTATTAAAGGGTTAGTTCACCCCAAAATGAAAATTAGCCCATAAATTACTCACCCTCAAGTCATCCTAGGTGTATATGACTTTCTTCTTTCAGACGAATCCAGTCGGAGTTATATTAAAAATTGTCTTTGATCTTTCAAGCTGTTTAATGCCACTCAGCGGGTGTTGCATGCATCTGTCCAAAAGAAGTTAAATAAAAAGCGCCCATCCATTAAAAAAAAAAGTGTCTCACACGGCTCCAGGGGGTGAACAAAGTCCTCCTGTAGCGAATCGATGCGTTTTTGTAAGAAAAATATCCATATTCAAAACGTAATAATCACTTTAATGTAGCTTGCGCTCACTGTTGTAAACGGAAGCAGTTCTAGGCTGATGACGTATAAAGTCAGTGCTGTGCATGCGCCGGTGAGTCTCGTGAAAACCAACATTTGTTAACAGTAGCAAAGGAAGCAAAGTTTCCTTACCTTAGCAAAGGAAAACCAGTCTCCTCTTGGCTTATATCGAAATCCTCCGACATTCTTCTTTACAGATCCTCGTTTTATACTTCTAATAAGTTTTGTTTTGATCAACGTTTGCGTTTCCACGTGCGTCACTTCTGAGCGGCGCATACGCAAAGCCGACCGCATACGTCATCCACCCGGAACTGCTTCCGTTTACAACAGTGAGCGCAAGCTAGATTAAAGTGATTATTATGTTTTGAATATGGATATTTTTCTTACAAAAACGCATCGATTCGCTACAGGAGGCCTTTGTTCACCCCCCGGAGCCGTGTGAGACGCTTTTTTTTAATGGATGGGCGCTTTTTATTTCACTTCTTTTGGACTGATGCATGCAACACCCGCTGAGTGGCATTAAACAGCTTGAAAGATCAAAGACAATTTTTAATATAACTCCGACTGGATTCTTTTGAAAGAAGAAAGTCATATACACCTAGGATGACTTGAGGGTGAGTAAATTATGGGCTAATTTTCATTTTTGGGTGAACTAACCCTTTAAGGAAAATGGCCCCCCTCAGAATTCTGAGTTTACCTCTCACAATTCTGAGATTATATATATCACAATTATGCATTTTATCTCAGAATTCCGAGTTTACATGAGTTTAGTGCGTTTTAGAATTCGCAATTCTGCCCTTTTTTTCCTCAGAATTCTGAGTTTATGTCTCGCAATTGCAAAAAAAGAATTGTGAGATATAAACTCAGAATTCTATGGAAGCCCGTTTCCGCCACTGAATAAAAAATAAAAGAGGTAATTGCGACTTTTTATCTCACAATTCTGACTTTTTTTCTCAGAACTGCGTGATACAAACTCGCAATTCTGACTTTTTTTCTCAGAATTGCCTGATATAAACTCGCAATTGCGAGCTAAAAAGTCATAATTGTGAGATATAAACTCGCAATTCTGAGAAATAAAGTCAGAACTGCGAGATATAAACTCTTTTATAAACTTTTTTTCCTCGCAATTCTGGCTTTTTTTCTCAGAATTGTGAGATATAAACTCGCAATTCTGAGAACATATCAGTCTTTTTTCACCCCCTCAAAATTGGACTCGCAATTGCGAGTTTATATCACGCAATTCTGACTTTATAACTTGCAATTGCGAGTTTATATATCACAATTTTGTGAAAAAAAGTCAGAATTGTGAGATAAAAAGTCGCAATTATCTTTTTTTTTTTTTTTTTTTTTTTTCAGTGGATTGTGAAGAGGCTCAGGTTTCACAGGAGGGGCTTTTTAAGCTACTTCAGTTTCTTTTATTTTTTATTCAGTGGCGGAAACGGGCTTCCATAGTATTGAGATGAAGTCACAGTTACCAGTTTTTTTTATTATTATTTTTTTATTCCTTGGCAAAAACGGGCTTCAATAGTATGCAAGTTTGGTAAGCAAGTATGAAGTTCTGCGTAAAAAGCAGATTGTTTTACGGCAGCAACACATGCATGTGCCCAGCTCTTCACTGTAATTACCAGAGTCATATATTGACGACCCATTTAACTGTAAGTGGCTCCAAAGCTGCAAAAATACACAAAAATACAAACAGTGGCTTTAATATTGATCAAACTAAGATGAGACCACCTTTCAATATCTTTCAATATGCATTTATCTCAAGCTAACCATAAGAAAAGCCTTTTCAGGAGACTGAAAAATCTCTCTAGGCTAGTTCTTTTATGAAACATCCTTGAAACTGATGAAAATGAAAGAGGTGATGGACATGCTTTGCTTTATTATACTTCCTCTATATCCCTTCTTCCCTGTTTCTCTGAGACATGGCTGTGATGACCCTTCACTTTGATTCCAAACTGAGACCTGGATCTCTTCTTTAGATGAAAGATCCACCGTTGTAGTAGTTGTTTCATATTAAAGGGTAAACATTTGCAACAAAGAGCAAAAAGTCAATGCGGTGCATAGTTCATTTTTGCATGCAGTGCCTTTTTTTTGCATACAGTTTTCTGGCGATGAGTCCTTTAATAAAAGTCACTGTTTTGCTTTCTGAAAGCATTCAGTTGGATCCTAGCTTGCTTCTGATTTGCTCTGTAAACTTTTGATTTATGAGTGGCCTCCGGCGTGAAAAATATTACATGAGGTAATTTGATTTTGAGGGACTTTGCTTTCTGTTGTCTTTCTGTAGGAGAATATTCTTGTTCTATGTACGCTGTTAACACTGAATGTTTCCCTCCCCACAGTTGGGTTTTGCACCGTATAGACTCTGTGATTACAAAAAGTTGGGCAAAAAAGAAACACTCACATGCATATATTAAAATCAGTAAATATCTAAATATATATGAGAATTTTTTAAGAATGTATTTTGATTATGGGTATTGATTTTGTTTTGTCGCTCTGAGTTGCTTGTAATATTAAGTGTATATGATGTCTAATTAGTTTGGGGGAACCTGAAGCATTATTCTGAATGCATGATGTTAAAGTCTGTTTTGCTCTTATCCTGCACTGTGTCTGTTTGACTGTTGTGATCGCGTCCTTCCTCTGTGACTGGACGGAGAAGAAACTTACGGGGTTTTCTTTTTTCTTTTTGTGTTTGTTCTTTGCTGCTGCTAAGAGAAACTGTTCCAATCAATTTCCGCTGTGAATCTTCTATTGTGGAACTTCGAACATTGAAACATTTGCATTGCATATACTGCAAGAACTTTGCATCTACTTAATAATAAAAACATTTGTATGTCAAGACTTGAAGGTCTTTGCCGTTCTTTCTAAAGGGAGGAAATTTTAAGTATATATGCACTGTGAAGTTTATTCAAGACATTTGTAATGCATGAAAGGATATGTGAATGGAAAATTTGAAGTCAGAGGTTGCACTTTCATGGCTCAAGAAATTATGGTGTGTTTCATTGAAATGTCAATTTGGTTTCCTATTGAACTTCTATAGAGAAACAGAGGCAATGTAGAGAGTGTTGCCAAGAGTATCAAACATCTTATTTTTATTATATACAGTGGGTACGGAAAGTATTCAGACCCCCTTAAATTTTTCACTCTTTGTTATGTTGCAGCCATTTGCTAAAATCATTTAAGTAAATTTGTACATTTTTTAAAATGTTGTCAAATGTGCTACAACTCTGAACAAAGAAACTGCTAAGACCCTGTATAGTTTTTTAAAGGTTCTTTACTCTCTCTTAGTTTATTTGGGGAAAGGATTAAAAAAACAACATTAAAATACAGTGTATTTTCTGAAGATAACATGGTTATAAGGCCCCCCTATAAGGAAATATTCCAGGGCCCCCACATGAGAATTTTTGACCTCAGAAAAGCATAAAAGTGATTCAAAACAGCTTTTGCCATTGTTGTAAATTCTCATTCATATCAAACATATGAGAGTGGAGTAACATATCTAAGGAGGAGAATGGGGTTCCTCTTATGGTTCTACATAGCACCATTTGACAAAGGTGATGTGTGCTGTAGCAATTGATTATTTAGCTTTTATATTTAAGTTGGCATCTAAATAAATTTAAATGTATTATGATATTTAAACATGAATATATATACAATATTGCCATAAAATTACTATATATAAATATATAT